TGAGTTGAGATCGTGGCACTGAAACAAACAAACAAAACAAACAAACAAACAAAAAAACAGCTCTTTTGGCCAGGACGGTAACTCTTGCCTGTAATCCCAGCACTTTGGGAGGCCTAAGCAGATCACCAGAGGTCAGTGGTTCAAGACCAGCCTGGCCAACGTGGTGAAGCACCATCTCTACTAAAAATACAAAAATTAGCCAGGTGTGGTGGCACCTGCCTGTAGTCCCAGCTACTTGGGAGGCTGAGGCAGGAGAATAGCTTGAACCCAGGAGGTGGAGGTTGCAGTGAGACAATATCATGCCACTGCACTCCAGCCTGGGTGACAGAGTGAGACTGTCTCAAAAAAATAAAAACCAACCACCTCTCACATGAACTCAGAGCAAGAACTCGCTCATTACCAAGGAGATAGCACCAAGCCATTCATGAGGGATCTGCCCCTGTGACCCAAACACCTCCCACTGGGCCTCACCTTCAACACTGGGGATCACATTTTAACGTGCAATTTGAAGGGGACAAATATCCAACTATATCAGTCAGTTACTGGGTGGAGGGAGCCCTGGAGGAGACTCAGGAAACCTGGGTTATTTCCTGCTCTATCATTCCTTCCTCCCTGGGCCCTGTTCTGTAATGGGCCCAAGAAGACACTTTCTGAAAGAATTTGACAGGTCGCTGGGAACAAAGACCTCCCTGTCACCTCCCTCATCCATTCCCATTCACCATACCCTCCCCTGTCTGCAGACAACCTTTTAGTCCTCACGGTGGCCACTAAGGAGACCGAGGGATTCCGTCGCTTCAAGCGCTCAGCTCAGTTCTTCAACTACAAGATCCAGGTAAGGGGTTTCCTGGGCGAGGCAGAGACAGTGAGGGGTAGGCAGGAGGATCTAGGAGTTAGTGCCATTTCCAAACTACCACAGCTCTTGAGATAGACGTGGGGCCACAGGGGAGGCTTCTGGAAGCCTGAAGGATGAAAATGAGTCGGGAATGGGAAGACACAGCAGAGGACACAGCATGAGTCTACGGGGTGAGGGAGAGGTGGAGAGTTGGCTAGAGAAATGCTCAGATGTTAGTGTGCAGGAGTCTCACCTGAGGGTAGTTTAGGGGACAGGGCCTCGGGATCAGCATTTCCACAAGTTCCTCCAGGTAATTTGGGGATGGGCGTGCTCTAGACATCTTCCCTGTATTATAAACACTGCTCTAAAGAAACGGGAGTGGTCCGGCGCTGGGGCTCACACCTGTATCCCCAGCACTTTGGGAGGCCGATGATCCACTTTGGATCATCACCTGAGGTCAGGAGTTTGAGAGCAGCCTGGCCGACCATGGCGAAACCCCGTCTCTACTAAAAATACCAAAAAAATTAGCTGGGCATGATGGCACACACCTGTAATCCCAGCTGCTTGGGAGGCTGAGGCAGGAGAATCACTTGAACCCCGGAGGTGGAGGTTGCAGTGAGCTGAGATGGTGTCACTGCACTCCAGCCTGGGCAACAGAGTGAAACTGTCACAAAAAAAAAAGGAAAAAGAAACATGAGCTAATGCCCAGTCGACCACTGGCATGGGCTTGGTGTCCTCTGTGTACAGTCCATGGGGCTGAGCCCTGCAGGGAGACGAGTATCCTGAGTGCTTCCTTATGTCAGGCACAAGGTTGGGCACTGGCAATAGGGTGATGGACAATACAGAACATGTCATTGCCTACACAGAGCTTGCAATCTACTGGCATTAAGTCAGCAAGCAAGTGTATTAGCTCACATGAATGAGGGTTGCAGGAGAGGGTTGCTTCAGGCATGACTGGATCCAGGGATTCAAGCAGCAAAGTGAGGGCCTTGTCTTTCCATCTCTAGGCCCTGTTTGTTTTCATTGTGGTGGCAAGATGACCACCAGCCACAGATTCATGTGCCCCAGTTTCTGAACTTCAGCAGAAGGAGATAGCCTTTCCTTTTTGTGAAAGGTCTGCGGACTTTTCTGTTTTTGATAGAACACTCCCAGGGAAGATGCTGATAGGCCATGCTGGGGTCACATGCTCAAATCTTGGTGTGGGAGGGGTAGGAAGGGTGGGACATTCTGATTGGACAGGCATGGTCACATGACCACCAGGAGACAGGTAAACCTCACACAGGTGGAGCATGGTTTCCTTACAGGGGAGGGTCAGAGTTGCTGGACCCACAGAAGCAAAAAAAATATTTCTTTCTTTTTCTCTTTTTTTGAGACAGAGTCTTGCTCTGTCTCCCAGGCTGAAGTGCAATGGCGCGGTTTCTGCTCACTGGAACCCCCACCTCCCGGGTTCAAGCAATTCTCCTGCCTCAGCCTCCCAAGTAGCTGGAATTAGAGGCATGTGCCACCACACCTGGCTAATTTTTGTGTTTTTTAGTAGAGACAGGGTTTCGCCATGTTGGCCAGTCTAGTCTTTAATTCCTGACTTCAGTTGATCCACACGTCTCGGCCCCCCAAACTGCTGGGATTACGGGCATGAGCCACCCCGCCCGGCCCTGTGAAAATATTTCTTTACCAAAAGTCAATGTTAAGGGGTGTTTCTCTCCAGGCGCTCGGCCTAGGGGAGGACTGGAATGTGGAGAAGGGGACGTCGGCCGGTGGAGGGCAGAAGGTCCGGCTGCTGAAGAAAGCTCTGGAGAAGCACGCAGACAAGGAGGATCTGGTCATTCTCTTCACAGACAGGTAGGTGGGTCAGGGCTTCCTGGCCCAAGCCCCTCAGAGGAAGATAGGAGAATATTCTAAAATGAGCCCCTCCCAGAACATCGGGGAAGAAGGGGGACC